TTTTTTTTTTTTTTTAACAAATAGGATGGCTAAAAGGAAAAGGTAACAACAACAACAACAACAAAACAAAAAAAAAAACAGCTAGATTCCAAGACAAATGTAGAAAACTAAAAACAGGAACATGTCATTGGACCCTGTCAGGAGTCCAACAGATTCTTAAAGACACTTAGAGAGGTCAAAGGTCAAATGTTTTTGTAAGATATTCCAGGAAACAGGAGCGGAGTAGGAGAAGGTCCTTTTGCCTAGTTCAGTCCTCATTGAGGGAACACTGCAGGTAATGATGTCCTGAGAGCGCACGCTGTAGCTGCACTCACACAGAGACATGTAGGAGGAGATGTATGAAGGCAGCAGACCAGGAAGTGATTTAAAGATGAAAATATACCAGTGAGAGAGTCTGTGTGAAGTTAATGGTGACCAGTTAACCAGTGAATACTGGGTGCAGTGGTGGGTACGATAATCACAGCCAGTTATGAATCTTAGTGCACCATGATAGACAGCATCCAACATCTGCAGCATCCAACATCTGCAGCATCCAACATCTGCAGGGTTCTTGTAGGAGCGTTCATGTAAATAATGTCACCATAATCAATGGAGGGAAGGAAAGTCACAGATACAAGGTGTTTCCTAACATTCAGGGTTAGACAGGATCTGTTTCTGAAAAAGAAACCAGTTTAACTTCCAGTTTCTTTATCAAGTTTTCCACGTGGAGCTTAAAAGAGAGATGTGAGTCGACCAAGATACACAAATATTTATAGGAATCAACAAACTCAATGGGGACACCATTTGAGGAAAAAATCAGAGGAAGAACTGCTGGGACTGACTTCCTGTTTGAAATAAAGCATCCCTTTGGTTTTGTCGGTGTTTAGAACAAGTTTGAGGCGGAACAAATCAGTCTGGATGATGTTGAAAGCAGACGTTAAACCTTATCAACTGTTTTACCTCAACAGTAAACGACTGTGTCATCAGCATAGAAATATAAAGATGCATCAGGGATGCTCTGACCTACATTACCTATGGAGAATGTAAAGAGGGTGGGTCCTAAGACTGAGCCTTGTGGTACACCATTGCTGACTGTTAAATAACTGGAGGAAGTACCATTATGTTGAACACATTGACTGAGAGATAGTTAGTATGGTGTGACCTGAGAAACCAATTTCTTCTGTGAAAATTTTATTTTTTAACCTCCTTAATGCTGCTTAATATTGTAGCATGCTCCTGGTTGACTGCTGGTCACATGGCCTCAGGGAGGATTATGGGTAAAATTTATGTTCATTGTTAATCATTTCAGTTTGATGTTCAGCATGTTCTTTTAGTGATTAGTCTGTTCGGGTTAGCCGCCCTAGTTTATGTTCATTATGTGTTCGTTTGTGTTGGGCCGTTCAGCTGAGACCTGTGGGCTTCACTCTGTGCGTTGAACAGTAAGATTTAAAACAACATCTGGCGGATGATTCATAGTCCGCAACAAGAGCGGGACACCTCCCAGTATCTGTGCGCCCACATGCTACAGTGGTTAATATTGGTCCACTGCTGAAGTCTGATTCATCCTGACCATCCTGACCTTGCTGCTGCCGGTTTCTCATTTCATTCAGCAGAATTGTTGTAGTTTGGACGCAAAGAGCAAAAACGTGCTCGTGTCGTGCACGAGTAAACATCTGGTACAAAACAGCAGAGCCACATGGCTGAAGAATCCAAGTGCCGCCCCCCAAAAAAAAAAAAAAAAAGTTCTGTGTCCGACTGCAGGCCTTGTTGATGGAAGGACCCGGCTGTCGCAGCTCAGTCTGCCCGGTTCAGTAGAACTGGTCCGGTACCGACTCAGTCGGGTTCACGACTCATTAATCGTCACATTGATTCAGGACTCTGAAGTCCGAGGTCTCGACCAACTTACGTCTTCTGGCAGAACACGAGTTTGACGCGAAAACAACCTCCTTTTATTTTGAACCAAAAATCTCTGTGATCTGTTGGTGCTCAGAGAACGTGTTGGGAGGACTCTCGGCTACTACCACACCAGATTTTAGCTCATTATCTGAAAAAGTTGTAGCCATTTGTCTGTTTGCTAAGGTCCACTAGCAGCTGTGGCCATCTTGACTCCACAGGTCCAGTGGTTCATTAGATATTTTACTAACAGACAAGCGTTTACTGTGTGTTTTCTTCTTCTCAGCGGGCTCATGAAGCCAGGTCTGAACGCCATCATGGGGGCGACAGGAAGCGGGAAGTCATCGTGAGTTTCCAACATTCTTCATTAAAACTGAAGTTTATTTACAGTTTTACAAAATACGAGAAAATATTTCCACACAAATGAACAAAATAAATGTTTTTATACATAAATGTAGGTGAGTTCACCTGAACTGGGTGAAACCACTAACTGGTGACACGAAGCACGAAGTCCTAATGTCTCGTGCTTTTAAAGTTTTGTGCTCTCAGATGACATTTCCTACAGGAAGTCAGATGTTTTACCAAAACTGTGTTTGTTTCTTCAGATTCTTGGACATCCTTGCAGCCAGAAAAGATCCTGCAGGTCTTTCAGGAGAAGTCCTGATCGACGGATCTCCTCAGCCTCCAAACTTCAAGTGTCTGTCTGGATATGTGGTGCAGGTGGGTGAAGCAGGCCCAAGGTCGGACCTGCAGGCCCAAGGTC